CCGAGCGTGCTCAAGGGCCAGCATGTGCTTGTCCGCTCAGACAACACTACGGCAGTAGCGTACATCTACCACCAGGGGGGTCTACGCTCGCGCCGGTTGTCGCAGCTCGCCCGCCACCTCTTGATATGGAGTCAGAAGCACCTGAGGTCCCTTCGTGCAGCTACATTCCTGGAGACCGGAACCGGGCAGCCGTCGAGCTGTCCCGGGGCCCGTTCCATCTCCGGCGAATGGCGACTCCATCCCCAGTCGGTCCAGCTGATTTGGGACCAGTTCGGGGAGGCACAGATAGACCTGTTCGCCTCTCGGGACTCGTCCCACTGCGCCCAGTTTATTCTCTGACCCGCGGCTCTCTCGGCTCGGATGCGCTGGCGCACAGCTGGCCACGGGGCCCACGCAAGTGTGCGTTCCCCAGTGAGCCTCCTTGCACGGGTGTTGTGCAAGATCAAGGAGGACGAGGAGCAGGTCTTGCTGGTAGCCCCCTACTGGCCCACCAAGACGTGGTTCTCCGAACTCATGCTCCTCGCGACAGCACCTCCTTGGCCTATTCCTCTGAGACCGCTACTCTCTCAGAGACGGGGCACTCTGTGGCACCCTTGTCCCGATCTTGGAGGCTGCACGTGTGGCTCCAGGACGGGACGAGGCAGGTTTGAGTTCGCTGCCACCTGCGGTGGCGGCAACCATCACTTCCGCAAGAGCGTCGTCCACGAGACACCTTTATGCTGTTGAAGTGGAACCTCTTCGTCAATTGGTGTTCTTCTCGCTGAGAAGACCCCCGGAGATGTTCGATCGGAGTCGTGCTTCCTTCCTGCAAGAGGGGTTGGAGCGTAGGCTGTCGCCCTCCACCCTTTGGATTTATGTCGCGGCCATTGCCGCGTCTCATGATGCAGTGAAAGGTAAGTCTATGGGAAGCATGACCTGGTCATCAGGTTCCTGAGGGGAGCGAGGGGGCTAAATCCGCCTCCCTCCCTCCTGCCCTCTGGGGACCTCTCAGTAGACCTGGGTGCTCTGCAGAGGCCTCCCCTGGAGCCTTTGCAGTCGGTAGAGTTTTTGCCCTGTCCTATGTGACAGCACTCCTGATTGCATTGGTCTCCATCAGGAGAGTAAGGGACCTGCACGCACTCTCTGTTGACGAAGTGTGCCTGGAGTTCGGGCCGGCTTACTCTCACGTATTCCTGAGACCCCGGCCTGGATATATGCCCAAGGTTCCTACCACTCCCTCCGGGACCTGGTGGTGAACCTGCAAGCGCTGCCCCTGGAGGAGGCAGACCCAGCCTTGGCACTGCTCTGTCCGGTACGTGCTCTCCGCACCTATGTCGACAAACGCAGTGTTTCAGGACCTCAGACCAGCTCTTTGTCTGTCATGGGGGGAGCCAGAAGGGAAGGGCTCTCTCAAAGCAACGGCTGTCCCACTGGATAGTGGATGCCATTGCTTTGTCTTACCAGCAGCAAGGCCTTCCGTGCCCCCTTGGTGTGACGGCCCATTCCACTCGGAGTGTGGCCTCCTCTTGGGCTTTAGCGCACGGCGCCTCGCTAACAGACATCTGCAGAGCTGCAGGCTGGGCGACACCCAACACCTTCGCCAGATTCTATAATCTGCGAATTGAGCCGGTATCCTCTCACGTACTCGTTTCGGCCAGTTCTGGATCCGCTCAGGTGTCTTCGCTTGCTCGCCACTCCACTCCCCGGACTGGATAAGTGCGATATTTCCTCAGTTCTTCCATTGAAGCCTTGAGTCCTCCAGCACCGACGATGCGGGCACCACTGCTGTGGCTCTGGATGCTGGCTAGGTGCCTCCATGCGTACGGTTCCCCCATGGTAACCGTCTCATGTGTATTATCCACTGTAAGCCTCTCTGAGCATGTGTCTTCCCTTGGCAAGCCATCTGCCACCCCTGGAGCTGAAATTAGTAGCCACCTGCGGTTGGTGCTCCAGTGATTCCATATGTGTTCCTATGTGGCCATATGTGTATTCGTAAGTCCTCCCTTCGGTAGGCAGCTGGTAGCATGTCCCTTCGGGATATGTTTCCCAGTGTACCTTGGTAATCCTGTGTCTAAGTCGGATCCCCTAAGGAAAACAGGTAAGGCTCGGGGGTTCAGACTTTCGCAGGGCACTGGAAGACAGCCTGAAGTTGGCGTGATGGCACAGACCCCCAATCTCCGTCACTTCTGACGTAACTCGAAGTGACTACGAAAGGGAACGTCTCGGTTACGTATGTAACCCTCGTTCCCTGAGTAGGGAACGGAGACGTTACGTCTCCCTGCCACTTCTGCTGTATCGCTGGGTAGATGCCGAGTTCAGTCTTGGCTCCTCAGCGAAGACATACTGCGGTTGCGTTCACTTCCTCCTTTTATACTCACGGAGTAGGGCGGAGTACGCTATGCAAATTTCGCAGCCCCAAGGCATTGCATGCCATTGGCTCGTGTTTAAATACTCGAAGAGGATTGGCTTTCTATGCGAAACCCCCAATCTCCGTCACTTCTGACGTAACGTCTCCGTTCCCTACTCAGGGAACGAGGGTTACATACGTAACCGAGACGTTTTCTGTAACTTAAGAGATTTTCTTCAATAAGACAATTCAGTTAATTAAAATGAGACATAAGAAATGCTATTTGTTTTTCATAGT